GAGCTGAACTTTTAATTTGTTTAGAGTAAATAAACAAAATACTTTTTCAGCAGAAGCTGAACTACTGCGTAAAGACAGAAGCTCTTTATGAGCTGCTGCTTCTGCATTTAGCTCAGCAGCTTGGCTCCTACGGAAACCTACTGTGGAAAAAGCAGAAATAAAAGAACTATGTTCAAATGGCTGTGAATTTCAAATTAAAGATAGTTTTTGACTACCTTTCCAGGTACAATGCAGAGCATTTCTCCCTAAAGAATTTGGAAATGGAGGCTTTCTGCTACCCCTGGCAAAAGGGGCAGCAGAAAGATCCCATGTGTCCTCTTACCTCCTTGTGCACTTGTGTTCATGGCCTAGATACGTGTTGATTTCTTCATTCATTTAACTCCTTCATTACATAAATTGAAGAAACAATGCATCCAACTCACTGACGTAAAGGGAAACAGAGACACAGAAACCCTGCCATTCTGTCTAACAATTGTTTAACAGAAGTTAAATGAAAACTACAGATAAAATGAAATGGCAGTGTAAAGCATTTGTCACATCAATAATTTGACATTATAATAGCAACAGGATGGTCAGTCTGTTTTCATGTGTAGTATTTCTGTTTAGCAGCTGCTATGCCTAACAAACAGCTGCCAGATGCAGGAATTCCCTGGTGGGTACCCGAACATGCTCTGTGTCCTCTTGAACTTCACTACAGTTAAAATGTTATTCTGGACCAGCAGAAAAGTAGACAGATGTTTTGCCAGCTTGGCAAATAGGAATATTCCTTCTCTGAGCAAGTGGGAAATGAACTATATTCATCTCAGCTAGAAACGATTTTTGCACTCTTCAAATTCTGCTTTTGTAATATCTAAAGCATAGAGCATGTTGTTCACAGACTTCACGTAACAGAATAAATAAACCCAATTTTCCACACGTGCTTTTACAAACCAAAATACCTGCTTCCCAACAACAGATGGGAAATCTAGGGCTCTTAAATATCTGGGTTCTGATGACTGCTCTGCTAATTGTACATTAATAATTAGGGATTACAGAATATGCTTCTGATTACTACCCATGTAATAAAGTCAGAGGCGGTTGCAAACAGACTTTGTAGAGTGAAGAAATATTAGTATCACAAGACATGTCACTGTGAATCCATGCCATCTGTGTAATGATGAATGACACCAGTGTGGATGGTGTCAAGTCAGCCTACAGATTTTCTATATATACTTAGTAACCTGCAAATACATAAGGCAAAATGGCCCCACTTACACATTACATCAAAACAGAGAGTGTAATGCTTTGTCATAGCGTAAACCGGTCTATTAAAATTATCACATCATCAATAATGAAGAAGGCATTTGTTGATTTCAACCTACTTTATTTCTTTTTTTTTTTTTTGGACATGTTTTCTTCTCATTTGCAAGATTCACCTTTCATTTCACTGCTATTTTAATACTACCAATTCTAACAGTTTTTTATAACTTTTATTGTCTAATCAATGAGAATGTCATGAGATCCATTTTTACAGTAGTTTCAAATAGCACATTTGCATTTCCTTAGCAAAATGCAAACAATCTTTACTGCTTAAAACAAATGGCTAAATACTCTTTCAAGAATTTTGCTACAGTTTAGTGTTACTGATCTGTGGTCCTTTCCTGAGGTGAAGCTGGTAGTAATGGAGACCCTAGGGCAGAACCTTTACCTGTATAAGATGCTGAAATTGAAGTATATATGTGTATGTATATATGATGAACTCTGGCAGCTAGATCTCACATAATGTCAGGGTTATAAATGAGACAAGAGTCATAGAATCACTGAAAGGTTTGGGTTGGAAGGGACCTTAAAGATCATTCAGTTCCAAACGCCCTGCCATGGATAGGGACACGTTCCACGAGACCAGGTTGCTCAAAGCCCCATCCAGCCTGGCCTTGAACACTGCCAGGGATGAGGCAGCCACAACTTCTCGGCTCAACCTGTTCCGTTGTTTCACCACCCTCACAGTAGAGAATTTCTTCGTTATATCTAACCTACTTTTCAACAAATGAAATAATGCTTTGAATGAAAAGAATTTTGTCTAGAGAAGCTAGGAAATGATACACACAAATATAACAGCTGGCTGGGTGCAGCGTCAAAATGGGTAAGTGGAGTTAGTGTCAGCATTTGCTACAGATTTTATTCTATAGGGGGGACAGAGATGCTTAGTCAATTCATCCTTTCTGTCTTTGTTGAGAACACGTACCCAGCAATGGTACAAATACGTTCATTTCAGGTCTTTGAACTCTCAAATGTCATATCATGAATACAATCATGAGTACACACAGGAGTTTGCCATCTGTTTCCTGCTGGCTGTGTGCACTTACCCCAAAGTCACATGTTTCTTCAGAGAAGGTCCACAGCTGGAACATCAAGATGAAATCCTGATGAAAGTGTCTGTAAATGCCTCTGTCAGGGGCACACTCCACAGTCAGTTAGATTTTTTTTTTTTTTTCTGCAGAGAAAACTGTGCATCCAGTTTCTCATTTGTCATAAACAGACATAAAAATATTTTCCAGTTAATAATGGAATTGCCATGAAACTAAATGATGAGCCAATTTCCTACTAACAGAGAATAAGATGCTAACAGTATTTGGAGTGTTTTTAAAATATGATGCTGATTAATTCTGTGTTTATTCAATGCTACATTAACTTTTTAAATCACTCAGCATCAAATCCCTTGCTCTACAGACTTTGCTAGTGCTTGCGATAAGAAGAAAATAGTTTCTATGTTAAAGAATGTATAGCATCAATTAGGTGGGATAAAAATATTATAAAAGTATTGTGCAACATATTTCTGTTATCAAAGCTCAGAATTCTTAATCTGTGTCAATTCATTGCAAAGGACTTGAGTTTTATTATATAATTAAAATTAATATTACAAAAAATAATTACTGCAGATTTCTAAGGGGAGATCACTCAGATAATCATGGAAACACTATGATACAGTTAACTTTGGGTTAGGCATCAAGGAAACTGATTTCTCCAGATATCTTGCAGCCCTGCTTGGATAACTCCATAAAATAGATTTTGAAATATTAATTTTGCCACTAAAAATGTTCTTAGTTCTAACTCAGTTTTTAGTAATAATAAACTGTACTTGTTGTTAAAGCACCTGTGGGCAAGCAGCTATATCACAATCAGTGTGATTCAAACCACCCCTCCCAAATGAATTTCACAAGGTGTCTTATAACTATATTCATTATTAGTACGGATGTTGATTCAAGCTGTTTTTCTTCTCTGAAAGATGAGTAGCAATGCATTTTAACTCTCGTAACTTATTCTTTTTACCTTTTTTTCCTGTGTAAATAATAGTAATTGATAATACAGTGAATCATCTCGTTTTAGAAAGAAGTGTGACAACCACTAGAGCTATGAGATGCCACTAATAATTTGTTCTTTCATTTTGTAGATGGAAAATAAATAATTTTAGAGTTTAGCCACAACAGTCGTGATTTTGCTTGAGCTGAAGAGCAGTATTTTCATGCCTCTTGTTCAAAAGAAAGTTGCAATAACCTCCACCTTAATTGCAGAAAGATTTAAGCCTGCATGTCCAAAATCTTGGCCAGAAAGTCTCCTCAGATGCTTGAAGCTCTCCAGCTGCTCGTGACTGCAGACATTGTCATTCTGATTTGGCTGAGCATCCAGGGACTTATTTCATGCCTACACCTGTCAGGGGGTCTCAGGTTTCAGGAAGCAATTCAGTATTCATGAGTCTAGAAAGAAAATGAAGCTGTAGGGAGTGTTTAGGGAATGTTTGCCAGGAAAGTGAGAAGGAGGTGAAGTTCTTGATGCTGCTTGAAGGAATGCTTTGCATTTTGCTTTAAATGAAGAAATAGCACTGTAAGTTGGGATCATCATGCAAACTCAGAACCAGCTTGGGGTCTAAGGTGCTACTACATGATATTGAGTTGACATAGGCCAGAAGCCTGAAGCATGGCTTTGTTGTATTTATATCTAGAGCCAGGTGCCTAACACCACACCAGTCTCTGTTTGTGATTTGCTGCGATAGAGGAATTTCCTTCCCCTGCAGTTGAATCCACCTTACCCTACTTTTCTTTGGGTTATCCCTATTGCCCCAATTAATTAGCTTCCTCCTATTCCTTGTTCAGATTCCTTGGCCCCGTCCCTTGAACAATTGGCAAAACAGAACAGAGGCTGTGGTTAACGCATGGTACTAGCTATGGCTCGGTTTTATTTAATAACACTGTGTTACTCTGTGCAGCGAATTGTGACTAACTGCTTCTCCACTACTCTGCTAGTCTGTGAAAAGGCCAGCATTGCAAAACACCAAATCAGAGCTCCCCACCAAATCTCTTTAAGCATATATAAAAGGCAAACTTTGGTGAATGAGGTCTGACTGGTAGAGGAATAAGGCGTTTTGATGAAAGAAAAGTGCCCATCACTGACTTTTCAAGTTTACGATTTTACCTGCAGGTGTAATCATAGAATCATAGAACCAACTAGGTTGGAAAGACCTTTAAGATCATCAAGTCCAACCTTTACCCCAACACTGTCAAGTCTACCACTAAAGCACGTACAAAACATTTTGACTCAGCAGATCTTGCGAAAAACTCTTCCTCTTTGTCTTTCTCAGCAAACAAAAACTGCATTATATAAACTTGTGTGGTTTCTGTAATTTGGTTTATTGTGTGTGGTTTTGAATTTTTATTTTAATCAATGAATATAATTTCTCCCTCTCTTGCTTTCTTCCTTAGTGCTAAAAAGTACACAATGGCTTTTTAATATTTAATTAATGAGATCGATTTACAGGTTTTAGTTTAAAGGTAACCATAGCACAAATACATCCATTATTAACTGCAGAACGGCAGTGTAGCTTCTTGGGAACCCTCTTTAGTATAATATGAGAACCCCTGTCAACAGAAAACAGTGCTGATATTGTTGTTAAGTGTGACAAACTGGCAAATGCAATGGGCACCACACTGGAACAATGCAAACTGCTCATATCAATGGAAGAGGCGATGTTTAAAAATGAGATGAAGGGAGACAGTGAGAGACTATCAAGGAAGGTTCGATTCCGTGTTGCATCCTCTCACAGTGGGAGAGTGCTGAAGGAGGTGTACGCCGACGGGGAGGCTGCTGACTCTCTGGACTCTGAGTATGCCAGTAGCTCAGAGACTGACCAAACCAGCCGGCTGAGTGAAGTGGATGGGCAGCAGAATGGACACGTAGGGTCTGAGTGTGACGAAAATGAGAATGAGCAGGACGACTTGCTCATTTTAGTCAGAGCCGCTAAAGAGAAAGGTTTTGGTACAAAGCGAGTCAACATCCTCAGCAAAAATGGCACAGTCAGGGGAGTCAAGCATAAAGTCAGTGCTGGTCAAGCCCTCTTTGACAATTTGGCAAAAGTATTTCAGGTAGGTGATGTGGTTTTGCTGGATCTAAACCCTGTGTCTGTCCATTTTAACTCTTCATGCTATTCTTCCCTTTGGCCAAACCTCTCTCATTTTTGATTTCTCAGTGTTATGTCTCATTCCCATTGCTTCCACTTGCTGCTGTTGCACAGAAGGGGCTCTTTGCTCTTTCTGATGTACAACAGCTCCATGCTCCAAACCGACTGAACCTTTTCTTTCAAAATTGACCTAAGGTTTGCTGAGTTGAAATGTGTAAGTTGTGCTTCTCACGTATGAACCAGGAAAGAACCATAACATAAGAATTAACTGGGGCTTTATTGTAGATCTCTATAGATCCACTGTACACAGACTTGCCATGTTTCCACTCCTATTATATTAGTTCTAATGAGTTTACAATGTTAACTGCTGTCCCTTACATGTAGATATGTATACTTGCAAATTCCATTGTGTTTAAACTGCAAAGTAGACCAAATTAGGTGCAAGATGGCAGCAATGACAATTTTCTCACATGTAAACTTCAGAGGAATGAAATTGTAGTCAGAAGCCTCTTAGTAATATCTGTTTTCCATTTATTTTGTAGAAGGAGCAGAATATCTGTATTTGAAACAGTATATGCCATACTGATGCTTTACACAGAGAAATAGAGGCCTCAGAAAAACCAAGATGGAAGTTCTAAAAAATTTAGCTCATATATATAATTTATCTATATACACTATTCAAGCCTTTAAATCATTAATATACCATCAAAAGAGCAACAGGTATCCAACCAAACTCTTTCTAAAGGTTTTTATAATACAAAATTATAATGGTCAGTTAAATTGGCTTCAGAGCATTGTTTTAAAAAACATTTATGCAGTTTTAAGGCATGAGGAATTTGATATTAATAATGATTTTTTGTGAATTGAAATGAAATCTTCTGAAGTTCTTTTGTACTTTGAGACTAAATAATTTCATAATTCATTTAGAAATGGCTATAAAATAACAGTTTCTTGCTTCTGAGTATGAATTTATCCTCTATGTTGTACCTAACTTATAACAGTCTTTTTTGTCAATACCGATGTTCTTGTGGAAGTTGAATGTTTCAAAGACGAATTAGCTGCTTACTTCTGTTCTTTACATCACATAGCACTCAAGTAGTTTGCTCTCTTTCAAGCCACTCACTGAAGAGTCTGTCCTTGAGTTCCCTACTCTGATAAAATTTGTAACAAACTCACTTTCTTTAAATAGACATGAGTTAGGAAGTGTTAACTGGGGCATGTCTGGGTTCTTCTCCAAACTCGATTCCTAATAATGTTCTTTGTTGTTTCACTACATGGAGTATACCATTCCGTCTCACTAGCCCCATTCCCTCCTAAAAGCTTTCTTCTGCTGCATCAGTGACACCCAGGTAAGAAATCTGAATCAGTTAAATAAACAGGCCCGTTTGAAGACATATGTACCTTACTAGAGTGCCTGTCCTCCCGCTGTTTCTACTTCCAGTTTTAGGTTGAAAGTTCTTCAGAGGAGGTTCATGAAATCAATGTACTTCGATTGCAATGTTGTTTCTTTTATTCCTGGCAGAGTTACAGCTAGGACCAGCACTATTGCCATGAGGTGTTTTGCCAGAAGAAAGTAATGCTTGAGAGGAGGCATATCCATCTGATAACTTAATGAAATTCTGTTTAGCTAAGTCTACCCCAATCCATAATTAAAACCTACAAAATAACAAATGGTTTAAAAGATGATAAGGATCTTGTATGGACAATATTTTACAGCAGAAGAAAGTGGAATAATTAAATTGTCAGGCAAAACCAAACAAAACAGTTTTTCATTGAGTACATAATTAAATTTAAGAATTCTCCCCTACAGGCATTGTAAAGGCCAAAAGAGTAGAATCATAGAATCACAGAATCAACTAGGTTGTAAAAGACCTTTAAGATCATCAAGTCCAATCATTATCCCAGGACTGCCAAGACCAACACTAAACCGTATCACTGAGGGCCTCATCTACACAGTTTTTGAATGCTTCCAGGGATGGTGATTGCACCACACCCTGGGCAGCCTGTTCCAATGCCTGATCACCCTCTCAGTGAAGAAATTTTTCCTAATATCCAATCTAAACCTCCCCTGGCTCAGTTTGAGGCCATTACCTCTTGTCCTAGGCCATTACCTCGTGTCCTAGGCAGGTTTTGAAAGGAGATGTGGGAAAAAAATGGGAAACTGAGCAGCTTCTGCTTAGGCAAGTCTGGATGGCTGATTTCCAGAACTAACTGCATATTCTTACCTAAAGCATCTACTGGATCAAAGACATATATTTAGTAATACAGAGAACATAATGATTTGAGGTTTCTACGCAAACCAGTTTCCATTTCCCCAGACATAAGAGTCTAGTGAAGAAGTATGACAGTCTTCATATCTGTTATGTCATACTGTGGGCCAGTTTTTTGTGCCACATGGTGACACAGGGGAGAGCAAAGCACAAGGGTTGGCTTTGGGACTGATTTGGAACTGTTTGATCCCAAAGTGAAATATAATCAAAATCCATCCAATTACAAGTGAAGTAATGACCTTCAGGATGAAATTAGAGGATGATTTCTAGTTTTCTGTAAGTATGTTCCAGACAAGTAATTGCACAGTAATGCCACTTGGAGAACAGAAGAGTTCTTTATTCAAACATATGATAAAATAGAAATATGTGTGTGTTAGAAGATATAACTCAAAATCTCTTGATCTTGGCATTTTTCTAAGTTCTCCCCTTAATTATGGGAGGTCATCTGCAGTTACATGTTTCACTTCTCTTAGATAAACAACAGCAGGTGTATAACAATAGTTAACACGTGTACAAAGTCCCTCATCCCTGAGAAGAGCCCATCTATGCCCCTTTGATGATTCAGCAGTAGATGAACTCATATGTTTCTCAGGGTCAGTGTCAAAGCAGGTATTTATAACCTTGGAGGATGCACATGAATGCTTGACAGTCCTAAATCCTGAGCACTGATAAATTCTCGAATGCAAACACTTCTTATTCAGTATTTAATGGTTCACTTATTAACTAAAATGTCTATGAAAGAAGCCAAATACTCAGTATGTGTGTATCCTGTGACCTTGAACTATTTTTTTTTATTTTCTGCAGTGTCAGCATTCTGATTCTTCAGATTATATTTGCAAGCTCCTCTACTATGCTATTACCCCAAGCCCCCAAATGTCTCCTGTGATAGAGGAGAGATCCTTTAATACAAATCACGTTGCTTAGATAATCTAGGTGTAAGTAAGAATTCATTAACTGGACTTCGTTAAGTCATACAGTCAAAACCTTTGATGTTTTCTCTTCAAATATCTGGGCTGAAAGCACTCCTATGTATTTTTATGTTCCATGGAATAGTTGGGGTTTTGAATCTTTTTTCCACATTTTCTAACTACAGCCTTTCTACAGAGTTGGTTCAGACAGTTTCTTTCCACAACAGACTCATCTGAAAAACAAAATAAATCTCACTTTCTGCAGTTTTGTGGAATTTTAAGAAAGTGATGTAATACAGGAAGTATTTCTAGATGAAAAGGTGGTTTTTGTTGTTGTTATAAGATACAAGCCTGGCCTGAGAATGTCTATCTCCTGCCAAATAGACATGCACCCCCTACTACATTTTCCCACATCCATACACTGAGCACTTCTATCACCAGCACAACCAGCAATTTCTCATTTCCACTGTTCCTCAAGAAGAGAAGCTAAGTCCCTTGCAATGACTGTCTGTGTCTCTGGACGTGAGCTGCTCCAGTTTTGTGACAGTCAAAGGTCTCCCATCAGGTCTGTCCTGCACCACTGCTGAAGCTGCTGTGAGCCCATCAGAAGCAGCTGTGTGTGGCTGGGACCAGCGTTGCCATGGGGACAGGGTTGAACAGAGCAGGACATGTCCAGGGATTATCTGAGCTTCATGGCAGGGCATTCTGTGGGCAGAAAGGTGCAGGAGAGACCAGCCTTATTGATGCTTACGGGGATCATGGTTTCCATGGCAATGTCTCCAGCCTTTCCCTCCCAGGGGTGGATGCCACAAAGAGAGTGTTGATATGGCAACCACATCCTGGGGGGGGGATCCTACTTGGTGGAGAAGGGGGGAAGCCAGTCAGTGGTCACTGGTGGAGGGCAGGGATGGTCACACATGTCCACCCAGCCATCATGTGCACCTATCCCAGGACTGGAGGTGTGGCCTCCTACAGGGCTGGCAATACAGCAGTGAAAGTTGGGAACGTTTTGTTTGTGAAAAATGTGCACTACTGGAAAAGCCTGAATAACAGAAAGGATCTGGAGCTCCCAGCCTCCCTATTCATGCACCTCCTTGGTATAAGTGAGATTATCTCCTGCTTAACCATTAAAACTGATGGTGTCAGCAGCTCTGGAACAGACCTGGGATGTTAGCTGCTAATTGCGTAAGAAGCATAAGACCCTTCTCTGCATATCCAAAGCAACTGTGGTCTTATTTCAGTACATTACTAAAAGTTTTGTTTTCTAATGCTTGGAATACTGTTAAAATTCAGATGGGTTTGCATATTTCCTATATTTTCCCATAGAAAGTAGTAGAGAAATGGTTCTTGTCTCCTTGAAATAAATATTATTCTCTTCACTACCAATTTTTATGACTAGGCCAACCCTATGAAGTCTTCCAGACGACACAGAGCAAAAATCCTTGGGTTGCCTGCACTAAGTAGTGCAGCAATCGTTTCATGCCAGACTGCATTTCCGTTAATGTAATGGAGCTCAGCCAAAGGTTTTACACAGGTGTCCCCTCATTTGCACTGTTTCAGCATGGGTCTTTTCCTGCATTTCCATACTTACACACTCCGCTGGCCTTCCAGCGTCCTCTGAAAGGTCACCTTCTGCTAAATTAGCTACAGATCTCACTCTCAAGTAGCACCTGCTGACGTCTATTACGAAAGGGCAGGCCTGGTTAACAAAAGTGATTAATGCCTTTGTGAACATTGCATCAGAGAGAGTATGGGTCAAGAGTCAGATATAATATACCTTGTTTTTACGATATTTTCCAGCTCAGTGTCTCAGGTAGAGATAACATTTAAGGTTGCCAAGTGCAAGTCAATGTTCGGCCTGACAAAGAATTAGCTTGTTAATGCTTAGAGAGAAAGAGAGGAAAGAGCTAAGAATCAGGTAGAAGCTTGTTAAGATGAGAGCTTCTGGGGTGGTTAGGTTCACTTTCATGTTTCTTTACTTGTAGATGACCTGGAAAAATGAATACACAGCATGACATGCAGAGTTTAGGGATCAGCAGGGCTGGGTAATTAAAGAAAAAAATACCTAGAAATTTTTAGAGAAAATAAAGAAATATAAAGAGAAAATAAAATTAAAGAAAATAGAGAAAATAAAATTAAAGTCAGCAGCAAAACCAACTGTCTCCCAAAGAAGGCAGATGCAGCAAGGTGCTGTTAAGGTGAGTTTCTGGTGCAATAGTACAAACAAAGGTTCTAGGGTGACTGGCACATTGTATACCACTCCAGTTCCTGGAGCATCTATCGCTACAATCCCCAAACTCTGGGGAGAGGAGAGAGAAAGGTCTGCACTTCCACTGGAGAAGTCATGATGTTGTCATCCTTGCTTTTTTGGCACATGATCAGTGCTGACACTCCAGCATCATTAGATTGTGAACTCAGAGACCTCTTATAGGACTGGACTAAGATTGTAAAAGGTATCCTGAACTTTCCCTTCATATTCTTATCCATACACGCTGACCCGTGTGTAGGATTTGTGACTCCCAAATAGGCATAGCTTGTTAAAGGAAAAGACATATTTGTTCCTACTAATAGCAATGTTAGGGAAACCTGACAATAACCTAAAGCCATAGCATTTGCTGTGATAATACCACTTACATGAATGGAGATAAATCCTAGTGAACTGCAGGTACTTCCTCTGAGGTATAAAGTTCCAGTCTATGCTCGTAGTGTTAGCAAGTCTGGAAAACTAATTATTGAACAGTGTCACACAGAAATCCACTGAAGGATAGGAAAAATTGTAATAATGCAGGGTATCAAGTGATTGTGAAAAGTAGGTTTCTGTTGTTACAGGACAACTGTTGTTAGAAGGACAACTGGGTCACCACTGGAACAGGCATCATGTCCTTTCACGACTTCCCTTTTGCTTTCCTAAGTGCTTTGATCTGTGACCACAGTGCATGGGACAATGTTTCAGCTAATTCAACTGACTAAGTCACAGTTAAAACAGTCAGTTTCCAGAGCTGGTGGCTGGACAGCCACACAGATTTTAAAAAGGAGGATGTTTGGGTGTGTGAGATTTTAACTGTAGCCTAGGATTGATTAGTACTTAGGATATTGTATTGGTATTTATTGTTGTCATAGAATCATATAAATCAGCTGTAAAGCACTGAGCTCAGACAAGTCAATTATTAGACTCTTCATGGTATTTTAGGGTTTGCTTCTATTGGACTTGAAATACTTATCTGACATAGAATTGAAATGATCATTAAATAGACTTCAAACTATCTAAACCTCTGAAAATGATATACAAACTTTGAGTTAAAAATGTAGGTAAGGGATGTCTTGACTTTTCAGTACACTCAGCACTGGGAAGCTTAGCAGCAAAACCATGGTTGAATTTACCACTTCTTCAAGACTGAATCAAAAATTGAAGAAAAAAAAAAAATTGTTAGACTTCTATGCTGGCAGTCTGATCAGCAAGCTCTGGAAAAATTTCCGGCACCACATGGCCTCCAAGTTATCCTTGGTCTAATGTGTCTTAATCCTTAAATGAGGACACATAAATGAGGACACTGTTCTTGAGACACTCAAGTGCACTGTATGAGACAAAGCAGAAGGAAGCCCTGCGACAATGAACATTTCTGTTCTGTGTTTACGTTTCTGCTTCAGAAGATATAATAAGCAGGTACTTCACCTGCTTCTTAAATCACACCTACATCTGCAAGTGAGTGAATACTGTTATGACACTGAATTAGTATTTCTCCACTCCCCACAATATTTTTATCTGTTTATCATAGGTAATGACTACATAAAACAAGACAGCTGAGAACTAACTTTTACAAATTTGCAGTAGACATCAAGCATTAGTGGCATGAGCAGTACGGCTCTGAATCTGTGCACATCAGCCTTCCCTGAGGCAGAATGAACTGACACGCTTCCTAGCAAGGGTCTGTGAAACATACTGGAGTCTCAAGTATAACCAAACTCTGGTAGATTCGGGATGAAATCAACAGTAAGGAAAAGATAATTCTGCACTTCGTTAGCACCTTCTCTCTTCTGTTGCTAGAAAACAGCTTATAACAACTGACTGGTACTGAGCAATATTGTCTCAGGCTTGCCCCAGCTGTGGTCTCAGTGCCTGTGGCCTAAGCAGGTTGTGCAGCCTGTAGGAAAATGCAGAGCTGCTGCCCTGGGCTGCGAAGGAGAAAAAAATTAAATTGCTCCCTCTGTAAAGTCTATGCCATGTGGCTACTTTCCCAGAGTGATTTGTTAATAAGCCTCATCCCCTGGCCTTATCCTTTGCATGAGAAAGGGCAGTGTACCAAAGAAGGTAGGGTGATACTGCATGGAGTATATATATACAGAATATGTAGTACTAGCGTGAACCAAGACTTCAGGTATAGATTCAAAAACCTCATAGACTTCTGACTTAGACACCAAGATCCAAAACTGTGATACTGCAAACTCTCTTTGGTGCCATCTTGTCTCAAAGGCAGCAAAAGCCTTTTAATGATGAAAATTTGACTAATCATCTGCCTTGGCCTTGTGTCTCAGTATCTCAGTATTGACAGGACATGACAGTTACCTCCCACTCATGTCC